ACCAACAACGAAAATGATAAAATACAAATATGTTATTCGTATCAGTTGTGAAATATCTGCAAACATATCCTGGTAGTTCATCAAAATAAACTCTCTAGCAGTAGTCTAAAGGAAGGAACTTTTTGTCAATGGTAAATCTCTAATATGTATATTCACTTATAACCCAACGCACATTAGGTAAAATGATTCATTTGACTGTGCGAAAGTCCAATTTCGTAAGGGCAGTTTCATATTATTTTTTTGTTGCCATTTTGTAGGGAATACTCCAAAATAACAGAAACTTCACTTAGTTTTTGTAAAACAAAAACACCGTTATACAGCAATAAACCAAATTTACACTATCAAAATGTTATTTACACATTGTTTGCGGTTTATTTTGTAAGTTTCGAGTGCGTTTTTTTGGAAAGTTCGAATAATTAAAGAAAAATTTTAAATGGGATACAAAAATATATGTTAGTGAGAACTTATGTCCCAATTTAAAAAAGTGACTTTTTATTATTTGTTTGAAAACAAACTGACTTATTGGCATAATCTCAAAAACTTTCTGATTTATTATTATTTTCCATTTATGATTTTATGTAAGCTTTTACAATTTTGTTAACATTCGGCAACCAAATTGGAAATGGAAGTGGATAAATTAAGAGGTAATGAATTGATTTTGTTTTACTTAACCCGCCGTTTTTAGCCGTTTTCAAGAAAAACGGTTTTATCTGGACTATCATGCTATTATAAAAGGCTAGTTGTTTGAAGTTTGGCTGATTGGATGTTCGAAAAAAGAAAAGTTTTTTTCGATTGTCAACCATGTTGAAAAAAAATTTGGGCAGAAGATATTTGCGAAAGTTCCATGAAACTCTTAGAAGAAAAACGCGTATTTTTTGCAATTATTTATCAAAGAAAGATGAAAATTATGGAAAACAATTTGGAAAGGATGCAAAAATATTTATATCTGAAAACATAGCGTTTCTTGCTGACGAAGTTCTTTTCGAAATCAAAAAACCAACTGTGTCGACCATCAGCCGGATTCTAACTTTCGCTAAAATGCTAAAATGGGAAACATAACATTTTTCCGAATTTTTAGCTATCTCCAAAATTTGCGGTTCTTTTCTNGGAAACCTAACATTTTTCCGAATTTTTAGCTATCTCCAAAATTTGCGGTTCTTTTCTCCCTTTTGCTAAAAATAGCTTAGCCTAATAATAATAATCCCTTTTAATTATGATAAATAGTGAAAATGGAAGTTGTGATAGCAAAAAAATAGCAGCCTCAATTTGGATTACATTTTATCTCCTGTAGCGTAGCCGTGACTATATTACAAATACACTTGCGCCGATTCGCAAAGACCATTGATGAGCAGCCTTCGCAAAAAGGCAAATCCTTGAGAGAACTTACGGATTGAAATTTCGAAATTTTTTAGTCAAAGTGAATAGAGCTTTGAACATTCTTTCCACATATTAGTTTCAAAAACATTCGTATTCTTTTCAGGAAGTTAGCAGCGATTTTTGGTAAATGTGTCACAAAGCAGCATTTGCATTCTGAATATAAATAATATCGGTGGGGAATTTGGGAATACTGAAACCTCAAATGAAAATGAAGTGTTTTATGAAGACTAACTGCTTTAGGAAGCAGGAGATACCTCAAGGCATATCTGCGAGATATGTAATAAATATTTTTCTGTTTTTAATTTAGGAATTTCGATAATGCCATAATTAATCGCTAGAAGAAACCATTTATGTACATGTGACCATACATACTCATTTTAAGGGGGACGGGGTTGAGTATGGTAAGAAAATAACTTGTGTCAAAACCAAGCTAATTGGACAATGTTTTTGAGTACTACCTAAACACATATACTCATCATTTGAACATACAAAAAAGCAGAAAAGTCTGTTTTACGAAAGCCAAGTCATGTTGTCACATTTTATTTACTTCCTTTAAATTTTTTTAACGTTTGCCATCTTTTTACATTAAAATAATGCAATATTTTNCGATAATGCCATAATTAATCGCTAGAAGAAACCATTTATGTACATGTGACCATACATACTCATTTTAAGGGGGACGGGGTTGAGTATGGTAAGAAAATAACTTGTGTCAAAACCAAGCTAATTGGACAATGTTTTTGAGTACTACCTAAACACATATACTCATCATTTGAACATACAAAAAAGCAGAAAAGTCTGTTTTACGAAAGCCAAGTCATGTTGTCACATTTTATTTACTTCCTTTAAATTTTTTTAACGTTTGCCATCTTTTTACATTAAAATAATGCAATATTTTAGCCGCTATTAATTTCGCACAGAAAAAGTAATCTTTTGACCTAATGTGCAACGTGATGAAGGTTGGAAATAGGAGTAGGAAGCGATTTTCGAACATCCCGAATTTCTTCAACACTAAACACATAGTTTAGACGCGGATCCAAATGCGCATATCTACTACTTTTACTGGTGTCGAGTTTTAGTACTTGTTTAGGTGTCTACGGTTGGTGTATCATGTGATCTCTGATGGTGCAGCGTTGTGATTATTGTGTGGTATTTCTGGCGACGTTGAGAATGGTCGATGCAACATCTGAGCGCTATGGTGATGATGCTGATACACCGAAGTGTCCTGTAAGGCGGCCACCGTACTCAGGGTCGCCGCTATACTGTTGGCCGTGGAGTTGAGCTTTTCTGGAGAATTGACGCGTATTTTCGGTGGTGTGCAGTCCACCGCGTATGCAGGTGGTGGCGGATAGTTAACGGCGGCATGCAGATGGCTGCCATTTAAGCCATGCGCCTGTGCCGGTAAATGTGGTTGTGGTCTGATGACGATGGGTTGTATCGGGAATTGTTGGGACATTTCCTTGAGGTTGCTAAAACTTTGCAAATAACAACCGGCATTGAAGAGACTGGTGGCTGTGTCCAATTTGAAGGCTGGCAAGCAGGTGGATAGCGGTGCGGTTGTAGCATAACTGGATGCTGCTACCAAATTGCTAGCTGATAAAGAGGTGGCCAAGTCGCGTGGTTTATCACCATCAATGCTGAGACTCTCTTCACGATCGTTAGCGCCATTCGATGTAGAACCCGGACTGTGCTGTAGTTGAATACTACTAGGAACAGGTGAGTGGGTGCCCAATGAAATGTCTGAATCTGATGTGTCCGATGCTATTGGTGAAGGAGCTCCTTCCGGTCGTCGACTACGACAAAGCAGGCCGGAATTGTTTTGATTATGTTGTATTCTGAAAAGATCGAAAAAAATGCGAGATGTTAAATTTTAATTGGAAATACTATGTATAGTATAGTAGTATAGGCGAAAAGTTAAATACTTTATTTCTAGTGTAAGAGTCAACAAAAAGGCTAAATTCTGCATGTGTCATCCAGTTGATTCCAGCTAAAATCTTCAGCGAGAGAGTTTTACGAATATTGTCAAATTCTAAAAAAGAGACTACAAAACTGGAGGGAGACGCC